CCAGGTCACCCGCCTCGATGCCGGCATCGATGGAGCGTGTAGCAGGCGAACCACCCCAGATCTCCTCGCAAAGCTCATAAAATATGAGTACTACCTGTCCTTGACCACTTCGACGCCCTGTGTCCACCGCATGCCTGTATTTGCTGCGTATATTTTTCAACTTTGCAGTGACTTGGGCTTTTGAGACCATGGTAGCATCGTGAGGGAAATCCTTATTGGTTAGCTCCCTCGGATACTGTGCCTGAAATGCGTCCATTATATCACTATATTTGGAGTGACACGACTCCCAGTCCACGTTTTCTTGGAGCTTAGTGGACTTGTAGTCGAGTGTGACTCTGAGTAGAAGTTCGACTTCGTCGTCAGTCCACACGAAAGACTCCACTCTTGCTCTTGAAGTTGTTGCGTTCGCCATCTTCGTCTTCTTCTTCTTCTTGGTTCGTATACAGCGCGCAAGGTTATGCGCATGCTCAAAGTCTTCTTCTCCGAGTATAGCGTACTCTATGGCAGAATTACAGCGCCCCATACTGGTCTGGCATATATACTACACCGTTTTCAGTGGTTTCGTTTGTACGCAGATATTTCTTGAGACGACGCCGTGTTTACGCAATTTTTTTTTAGAACGAGGAAAAAAAATGATCGGATAGGGAACGCACCGGCTTCATGTGGTCGGAGCCTAAATCCGTAATCTGTCGTCTTTTCAAAACGTCCATTGTCGGAATTATTTTTTTAAATTAAGTTAAATCGGCAAAAAAGCAAACCATGTCACCTTACTTTGTTTTACCTGCATCGCGGGCGTGTAGTACCGCTCTCACCCGAAGATCACTATTCACATTCTAAATAGCCGCATTAGCGCGTATTCAAATCGCATTCACATGGTAATCTGAAGAACAACGCAACAGTGAAACACGATCCAGATACATCCCTGTCAGCGCTATAAAACGGGGTGGGGGGCGTGGCCAGGTGACAATGGCTCATTCATACATATGAAAGTTGCTACATATTCAATGAAAGGACCCAGAAATAGTGACATGAGTTCGGTTTTTCTTATTTATTTATCCAAATGAATGTTGCAACTACAATATTTAGTCATCTTCATGTAGCCAAGACTTTGGTGATCAGATATCTGGGATCAAAATAAACTGCCAGCATTGCTTACTATGTACTCTTATTATGTTTCTGCAAGTGTTCCAAACTGCATTTTGCAATGTCTATACTTTGATGTCAGATTACAAACTTAACAAAAATCTGACATATTTACAATATACATTAAAATAAAGATGGGTTTTATGCTAAAACAAATATATAAGAAATAATTTATTAGCCATAAATTAAGTTTATGATATTGAATGAAATGTGTGATCATGCCCCAGTCAGTGAAAGTGTGTTCCCTACCCCTAGACTCCAGAGGGTAAATTTGCCTCGTAGAACTCTGAAGTCCCTGTTGGTAGGGGCTGGCACTCAGGGTGGAGGACGTGGGTGGAGCCTGAAATAATCGCTTGGATCTGCCTGATGTTAATTTGGTTACAAACATCCTGTGGGGTCAGATATCTCCCATGATTTTCATGGCTCTCTGGGTCAGGCCAGTGATCTGGATCTTCAGCTGCACAATAAGGTTGCCAAACCAGGCTGTTATGCCATAGCGGATACTGTTCTGAGCTATGCTCTGGTGGAAGATAAGCAGAACCTTCTGCTGATGCCAAAGGCCCTCAGTCAGAGAAGCAAGTGTATTTTTTGTTAGACCTTAAGACAAACATTATCTACCTGGGCACTCCACGTTAGTTTGTTGTGAATGTGTACCCCCACTCATTTGTAAGAATTATGCAGCTGTGGATAACCACCGGTAAGCGGTCAGCAAGAGATGTGGGATTGAACACCTCCTCTGTTTTGTTAACTGTAAAGGTGAGGTGTTTGTCACATCACTGGACAGATTTCTGGCTCTTGTGCTTGTATACAGTTGCATCAGTTGTCTCTGACATGAGACCCAGGATGGCTATCATCAGAACATGTTGCCAGTGCTGCCTGTGAATTCCTTGGTATACAGCAGGGTTCTCAAATTACATCTGGCCCATGAGACAGTTTTATATGGCCCGTGACATGTTTTTATTTTACTGTTTAACTTGGCCCTCTAATAAATCTTTACTTTGCACTTGTGTTGTAGTACCAAGACTGGTCTCAAGACCACTTTTTTGCAGTCTTGGTCTCGTCTTGGCATTGACTTGTCAACATGTCAGCTAGTTCCTCTGTGATTAAACTGGTCTATAATAGTTATAAAGATTTAATTTGCAAAGTAACTGCAAAGAAATACACATTCAGCAATGTTCAGATTCTGCAACACAACTCTCACCGAGACGGCTGGGACAACATTCAACTTTACCCGATACTTGGAGATACAAGATAAGGAAAGATAAATTAAGTGAAGGTCTGCACTCTACTCATCATATTTTCTAGTAAGAGAGAATATTTACATAAATGTACTATATACCACGCCTACCATAGCTATAAAGACTAACGGAAAACATTTAGTCAAATTAAACAGTTAGACTATCATTGCCCTTAATTGTGCCTCTCAAACTGAAGTGGTAAAAAGTTTGCTTGTCACAGAATAAATCACACTTATTTGACTTTTAGCTGAGGGACAGGCCTGATAATTGTTATCTATCACATTCACTAACCTGTGGCTCATTAGATTCTTCAGTTAAGTCGGGATGTCTGTCGGTGAGATGCTTTGCCAAGTTTAACGAGTTGGCTCCCTTGGTCTGCATTGATTTAAAACATCTTTACACACAAGCTTTGAGATTTCTTTGAGTTTGCCCTTACTGTTGGCAAGGTAAGCGAAATAATGCCATATTTTGCATCATACATCCTCAAGCTGTGGACAGTTGGCGGCCATGGCTCTCCTGAAATGGTGTGATGCTCGTGAACTATTCTTTTGTGGGGAACCATTTTCTTAAAGGAGCTATAGACTCTTGTTCACTTCCCTGCACATGTTTGTTCTTTAAGTTCTTCTGCATGTCCTCAGAAAAATTATGTGAATGCTGCTTCCCTCCTTGACTATGACCAGAGAGCCAGTGAAGGATGTAAGGGCATGCTGTAAGTGAGCATATGTTTGAAACTGAACCTGGAACTGACCGTTTACACCTACAATGAACGAATGACCAAGTTGGTCAGTTGATCAATCAGGGAGTTTTTCTACTTCTTCAGGTCTCATTCTCATTCTGAACAAGAGACCCAAATGAGTGAACGAGTTGGTGAACAGGTCGGTGAACAAGAGATTCAGGCTACTGATCGAGAGAACAGTACCTCGGTCGTGAATGAAATACACCATCTACTGGTGTAGTATATAGCCTAAATGTGCAGTGATTTTGCTTATGTTGAACTGGATTTCAGAGATGAAACATTTTCATGATTTGAAATTATTTTAACCAAGGTTTGTTAGCATTTTGACTCGTTAACTAATAAACTGTCGTTCATACTCATTCATTCATGTCCAAACAAACAGATCAAACAAATGCGAGCAGACACACCAAGCAAAGCACAGCTTGTATCTGTGTCATCCATAGAGACAGAGCCACCTGCTGAACCATGGGGTGGTCCTGCTTCACTCCTGCCCCCCAGTGGCTGTTAGGAAACAGCTGTATCATTAAAGCCCCATTGCTTTGGTTTACGATGGGATGTTACACTGCAGAAGGTTCCTGTTGATGTCACAGCCTTTCTTCTTATGGTTTCATGAACTTCTGGGTGTGTGAGGGCTCATACAGATGAGGTTTGTGTCCCCCTCAAGACTCGGACAGGCTGGGGCACCAGCTGGAGGAGGTGGTGAGCCTGAGGCAGGACTACGAGGCCACCTCGAGCAAGTTGAAGGCCCTGGAAGAGCAGATCAAAAGCCACCATGAAGAGAAGGAGGGACTTGAGAAGGTGGGCTACTCAGAGGTGTAGGGCTTGGGACCAGTTTTCTGCAGAGGTCACAAAGCTGACAGAAAATCAGCTCTCTGCATTACAGAGGTCTGAGGTCCATTTGTCATGATGGCTCACTGACAGGGGTGAGGGGAGGGTGTTTTTCCTTACACCCTCCTGGGGGCTTTGTTTGGAGTAGAGCCCTTTGCTTGTTTTGCAATGATTGCTTGTTCAGTAAGCTGCCCTGATGTCAGCATGTGGACAGAAACAGCATGATTGTTTGGTTAAGCCCTCATGCTCTCCTTCCAGCTCAACACTTTGTAGGGTCACATGGCATTTCACTGAAAGTGTCAGAGTGGCTTGGGCACATTCAGTAGGTCTGAGACCCAGAAGGCCTGCGGTATCGCTGGCCAAAGTCCTGTAGCCCTGTGTGTCTTTGTCTGTCTGCCTCTGTCTGTCTGTGATTTTCTCTTGCTTCTTTCGCTAGCAACTGGCGAAATCCCTGGATCAGCTGAAATCCCAGACAAAGAACCAGAAGGAGGCACAGCAGCAGCGCAGGCTGGCCCAGGAGCTAGAAGAGCGTGTGACAGAGCTGCGTTCCCAGAAACAGCGACTCTCCCAGCAACTCCACGACAGGAAGGAGGAGTTGGAGGCAGCCGTGCAGAAAATGGACGGCCTGCGGCAGGAAACGCGAAAGGCTGAAAGGGCTCGCAAAGAGGTAGCTGTCTGTGGCTGATCCCCAATCCAATCCCACATTGTCAGCTGACCCATCAAAGCCTTCAGCCATGCTAACATAGCGTGTATGCTGTGGAGTTTGTACCACATGGCTTCGTATACCACCTCAGCGCTGCGTGCCACACTAGGCTGATAGTGCTGTTAGGGCTTTCATGTGCTTTATTTATTAGCGGTCACTCAAACGAGTATGACTGTCCTCTCTGTAGGGTTTTCTACTTGTGGGTCTTTAGGTGGCTGTAGAGGTCAATCCGCTATCCACATATTTTGGTGCAGTGTGGGCAAGGGAAAGTAGAGATGGTGAGTAGTGATGGAGCCTTTTTCTTTAGATCTTTTCGGATTTGTCGCTTTACGTCTGCGGCCAGGTGGAGTTGAGTTTCGTGGTGTGCCGCACCTTCCTGAACTGCTTTTATCTAGCATTGTCTGTCCATAGCCAGATCCTCCCAGTTACTCAGAGTTATGTTGAACTTTTTAAAATTTGCCTTGATGTTGTCTTTGAAGCGTTTCTTTGGCCCTCTGGGGGCTTGCTGACCTTCTTTTAGCTGGGAGTGCAAAATCTGCTTAGGTAGATGGGTGTCGGGCATGCGGATGACATGGCCTGTCCAGCGGAGTTGGTTCTGCATTATGGTTGTTGTGATACTGGGCATATTTGCCTCCTCCAGAATGCAGATGTTGGTGCGTTTGTCCTCCCAGTTGATCTTTAAGATTTTTCACAGGGACCTTTGATGGAATTGTTCCAAGGCTCTTAGATGTCTGCTGTACGTGGTCCATGTTTCTGCTCCATACAGCAGAGAAGGGAGGACTACAGCTTTATAGACCAGGAGTTTTGTTTGGGCTCTCAGGTCTCTGTCGTCGAAGACTCTTGTTCTGAGTCTGGCGTAGGCTCCACTCGCACAGCTCAGGCGATGATTAACCTCAGAGTCTACTTCAGCTTTGGAGGAGAGCAGACTGCCAAGGTAGGGGAAGTGATCCACATTTTCCAGTGTAGTATTGTGAACTTTAATGGTGGGCTGGTTGGGCAACGGTTGGAACAGGACCTGTGTCTTGATGTTTAAGGCCAGACCCAGGGCACTGTATGCCTTGGCAAAGGCATTCAGAATGCCCTGGAGTTCTACTGGGGAGTGTGATACAATGGCATTATCATCTGCATATTGAAGCTCCATGATAATGGTGTTTCTGATTTTCTCTTGGCTTTGAACCTGTTAAGGTTGAACAGCCTGCCATCTGTTCTATAGAGGATCGGGATTCCCTGTGGCAGTTCTTGGCCAATAAGGTGGAGTATGGCTGCAATGAAGATGGCAAACAGAGTGGGTGCAATGATGCAGCCTCTGTCTTTACAGAGAAAGGCTCAGATGTAGAGCCACCATTGCTGAGCACTGTGGCTGACATGCCATCGTGCAAAAGACTTAGTATACGGATGTATTTATCATGGCATCCAAACCTTGAAAGTATGCTCCATAGAGCCTGACGGTCAACAGAGTCAAAGGCCTTCGTCAGATCAATGAAGGCCATGTACAGAGGCAGCCTTTGTTCACGGCATTTTTCTTGTAGTTGGCGGGAGGTGACGATCATATCTATTGTTCCTCTGGATGGGTGGAAACCACATTGTGATTCCGGGAGTAATTCCTGAGACAGTGGAAGCAGGCGGCAGACAAGGACGCGTGCAAGGACTTTGCCTGTTGTTGACAGGAGTGAGATGCCCCTGTAGTTTCTACATTCAGCTTTGTCCCCTTTTTTGAATATGGTGACAATCTGGGCATCCCAGAGCTCTGAAGGGAGTTCCTCTCTTTCCCAGACCTTAAGAAGCAGCTGATGGATGCGGTGCCAGAGCTTTGGTCCTCCTTCCTTTAAGATTTCTGTGGGGATCCCATCAGGACCAGCAGCCTTGTTGTTCTTTAGGCTCCTAATGGTGTTAACAACCTCAGTTTTGGTGGGAGGTTCCCCCTGGTCTTCTCTGGTGGGTTTTTGGGGGATCCGGCTCACAATGTCTAAAGCAGCTGAGCTGTCACGATTCAAAACCTCTTGAAAATGCTCTTTCCAGCATGCATTTGTGGCTAGATTGTCTTTTAAAAGCATCCTTTGAGCGCTGGGGATTTAAGCCGTAGGTGCTGAGGTCATAAAGAGCTTTTGTGGCACTGAAAAATCCCCTTGTGTCGCCAGAGTCTGCAAGTCTCTGGAGTTCTAGAGCCTTTTCAGTCCACCAGATATTCTTTAGCTCTCTCACCCGTCTCTGAACTTTAGTCTTAGCCCTGCAGTGAACTACCCTTTTGGCCTTGCTTGTTGGATCATTTTGCAAGGCCCGGAAGGCTTTTAGTTTTTTTGAGATAAGATGTTCAATCTCTGTGTCGTGCTCATCAAACCAGTCTTGGTGTTTTCTGGACTTAAATCCAAGGGTGGATTCACATGAGTCAAGGATGGTGGATTTCAGAAGGCCCCAGTGCTCTTCAATGTTATTATGGTATTCTTGCTGAAGGCTTTCTGCAAGGCAGTCCTGGAGTTGCTGCTGGATGGCATTTAGGCTGTCAAGATTCAGCCTTCGTTGGGCCTGCTTCCTTTGAATCCTCCTTGTTTTCTTAAGTTTGATGGACATTGTGGATCGAATGAGGCGATGGTCTGTCCAGCAGTTGTCAGAGTTGATCATAGCCCTTGTGATGTTCATATCACGGCGAACGCTGGCTCTTACAATGACATAGTCAATGAGATGCCATTGCTTGGAGCGGGGGTGTCTCCAAGATGTTTGTTTTTCTGCCGAAACAGGGTGTTGGTAATTATGAGGTTGTGCCAAGCGCATTTACTTAGAAGTAGCACTCCATTTGAGTTTATGTTCCCTAAACCCTCCTTGCCAATAGTGCCTTTCCAGAGATTTTGATCCCGGCCGACCCTTTCGTTGAAGTCCCCGAGGAGGATGATCTTGTCCTCCCTGGGGATTTTAGACAGGATTTGGTCTAGGCAGGCATAGAAGACCTCTTTTTCTTCTACATCAGAGTCTAAGGTGGTAGCATAAGCGCTTATTACAGTCGCCATCTGGTTGTTGGTCAGAGCCAGACGGATGGTCATAAGGCGTTCGCTGATCCCCAGGAGAAGCTCAGAAAGGTGGCTGACAAGCTGGTTCTTGAATGCAAATCCAACCCCATGGATCCTAGGCTCATCAGAGTGTTTTCTCTTCCAGAAGAAAGTCTAGCCTCCCTTCTCCTCCCTCAATTGCCCTTTGTCTGCCCGTCGGGTTTCAGACAGGGCTGCTATGTCAATCCGGCATCTTCGTAGTTCTCTAGCGATGATGGCAGTTCGTCTCTCAGGTCTATCACTGGAGGTGCAGTCCATCAGTGTGCGCACATTCCAGGCTCCAAAGTTGATTATTCTTTGTTTCTGACCACAGTATGGTGTACCTCTGGACGCGGTAATCCAGTCGGGTGGTGTAAGGCAAGCTATTTTTGGGCCACCTTTTCTAGCCCCTTCCCCATGTGGGGTGAGCAGAGTGGATCCTAAATTGGGCTGCTCAGTTATGGGTGCAGCTGCCGAAGGACTCTTTTGCCTTGGTCCAAGATCCCAGCGACTGTATCTAGCACCCACCACCTAATGTGCCACCTTGTGACTAGGGGCTTACAGATTACACAAACCGCCCCCTGTCGCCATTTGCTGATCGCCATAGGACTTTGATCCTAGATGTAAGGGCGGATTCCCTTTTGTGGAGGACGCTTGTGCGTGGCGTTTAACGTGAGGAGACTGGTGCACAGACAGCCACCGCACGGTCCTTGGCAGGTCTGGGGCAGGATCCAGTGGCATGGAATCCAAGACGACTGGGGACCCATCTCTGTTGCAGCCTTCATCCGCCTTTCCAGCCATTGTGATGCTCCCCACAGGTCAGCCATCATCATCTGCCTGTTCCGCCGTTGAGGTCTTTTGCTTTTCTGTCGGGGTGTGCTCCCTTAGCCGTGCCTAACTAGGCTAAACCACAAGGCAGTGGGGCTATTTACCCATAGTTGGGGCAGTGGTTGGCTGGCGTCAGGACGTGTCCACCCCATGGCGGGCCTGAACACCGTGCCTCTGGGGCCCACTGCTACTCCGAGATCCCCTACAGTTCGGCCTGGGTCCGCAGGGGCCCAGTTACCATGTGTGGCCGCGAGGAGGCACTGTAGGAGTCTTGGCAGAGGAGAGGCTATGTACCAGAAGGAGGGGACTTACGCACTCGGCTCCTCTTTGCCCTAGCAGAGCGGGCTAGCTGGTGGCAGAAGCTGAAAGCAGAGAAAGGCAAGCAGAAGCAGCATGCAGCGTGCAGCATGCACTAACTACAAGCACTACTACTAGCACTACTACCCCAACACTACTGCACTGACGCATCACACATGCCCTGTGCCATGGGCACACACACAATTTTCATGTGCTAACCAACTCTGCTCCCCTACAGCTGGAACTACAGCTGGAGGCTGCCACGGTGCAGGCATCCAAGGAACGCAAGCTACGTGAGCGAAGCGAGACCTACTCCAAACAGCTGGAGAGTGAGCTGGAAACACTGAAGGTCAGAAGTCACTGGCGCACCATCATCAGCAGTGTTCTCACATGCTGCACAAAAGGAGACATTGGGTGTGTCCGAAATCGCGCACTTGCGCACTTTTAGTGCGCGATTTTAGGGCGTAGTGCGTTCACACTGACAACTAAGCCAAAATTAAGTGCACTGAAAGTACCCGGATGGTGCACTGAAAACGGCCAGAAAACGCAGTGCAGAACGATGGACACTACTCGCACTAAACGGACGCCATTTTGACTACGTAGCGGAAGGGGAGGGACTTTCGGCAAGTTTAAATAATGGCGGACAACACAGACACGCAAGCTCATTCGGAGGCAACTGCGTCATATAAATGTAACATTAATAAAATTATTTTACTGATGTATACTTCGGTGTGTAGCCTGTCACTCTCTGACGACAGTTATAGATAATTTTGAGTTTGCGATTATATCGGCTTAGAAGAGTTCGCACACGTAAATGTTAGCAGTTTTTTAGCCGGTTAGGTGGTCGTAGATAAGTTATATACACGCAAATAAAACCACAAGGAAATTCATTGTAAATAAAACACGGCAAATATTTTGGGGCGCTGGAGAATCGCGATCAAATGCTAGTCCGTCACTTCCGGTAAGTGCAAAACGTTAGTGTTCCATTTATGACAGCACTTACCCATGGTAGTGTGCACTACAGGAGGAAGTGCGCACTACTCCCTACATCTCAGTGCACTGAGGTAAGTGCGCGATTTCGGACACACCCATTGTACAATAGAGAATATTCACACTGAATCAGGAAGTAGTCACTCAATATTATTCTCTGAATGCTGTTGAGGACAGTGTGTTCGTGTTTCTGTCTCAGGTTAAGCAGGGCAGTGACAGGCGGGCCCCTGGGGGCACACAGGAGCTATCCAAGGTGCAGGCAGAGCTGGAGCGCCAGGCAGTGCTGCACGAGGAGGACCTAGGCCGAAGGCAGACTGTTCACGCCGCTGAGCTCAAGGGCCTGCAGGCAGAGCTGCGCGACTCCAAGGACCAGCAGGCGACACTCAACGCTGAGCTGCTGCAGCTCAGGGACAAGTTGGACAAGGCCAAGCGCGAGTGGTGCGGCGGGGACCGGGTTACAATCTGAGCTCAGCCAGGGGCTCCACTTTTTTAATTACTTCATTACACACATCCTAATACACTAAATACAGGCCTTTGAAATCACTGTACACCCCAGGGAGTGGAGGTGAGATAACAATCCTAAAAACTGTGGCAGGTGGAATTTTATAGCAAAGACCCAAAAGCAGATTACTCTTCAGGAAATTAACTCTGAGATTCCAGAGAGGAGTATTATTCCTTTTGTGCTCAGAACAGCAGCCCGGGCAGATAGTCATATGAAACTGTGAGGAGTCTGGAAATGCGTAGCTGATAGTGGCTAGCGAAGCTCACTGCTAATGCATGTCTAATGGTGCTTCGTGCCTGGGGATGGGTGGCTAGCCACTTCCTGTCACATGACACCGTCTTCCTGCTGCAGGCAGAGCGAGATGGATGAGGTCCTGAGTGCCATCAAGGAGAAGTATGAGCGAGAAAGGAGCAAGTTCACTGAGGACAACTGCAAGCTGACCTTGGAGACCGAGCAGGTTAGTCTGGCTTAACGGGTAACGGGCGTCATGGTGGCAGGGTCTGGATTCTCAGTGCTGATGCTGGCCACTCTCCCCCCAAGTTGTGTGCTTTCGTGGACAAGTTAACAACCCAGAACCGGCAGCTAGAGGATGAGCTGCAGGACCTGGCTTCCAAGAAGGAGAGCGTGGCCCACTGGGAGGCGCAGATAGCTGAGATCATCCAGTGGTGAGCCTCTCCGCCCCTGCCCCCTCAGCTCCCCACCCCCTTTACTCCTTGCCTCCTAGCTTCCTGCCCCCCCCCGACTTCATGCTCCTGTCCCTCCAGCTCCCTGGCCCCCTTCCACCCCCGATTCACCCATCTGACGCTGCCACTTGTTCTGTCATGCCCTGCAGGGTCAGTGATGAAAAGGACGCCCGCAGCTACCTGCAAGTACTGGCCTCCAAGATGACAGACGAGTTGGACTCCCTGCGCAGCTCAAACCTGGGCTCAAGGACCCTGGTAAGCCCCCTCCCCTTTCAAAGTGGCATTCTAGGGTAGTTAGAACAAAGCAGAAGGGTCACATCATTCTTAGTATTAAGCCTTAATGCTGACACGCTGTGCTAAGACCCCTTATGCTTTTCTATGATGAGCCATTACCTAGGCAGCCGCCTAATGGAGCCCTGGAACTAAGAGCGTTCATACACAGACTCATCCTCCTCCCCGCCCTTCCCCATTGAGGTATAGAGCCACCACATGGCAGAAACAGAGCCTCACCTAAATCACCTTCATACATCCTGCTGCTCCCATCTGAAAAAGAGCCTAGATTTCTTTGTAATAAAAACGACATTTGGTCTGCACCCTCAGCAAATGTCAGGTTTACCCAGGCCACACGCCAACCCAGAGCGGGACTCTCACAAGATCACTAGCAGTATCAGAATTCCTCAGTAGCACCCCCACTATCGCAGCCTCCGTGTCCCCACCAGGACCCACTGTGGAAGGTGCGGCGCAGCCAGAAGCTGGACATGTCGGCTCGGCTGGAACTGCAGTCTGCACTGGACGCAGAGATCCGGGCCAAGCAGCTAGTGCAGGAGGATCTGCGCAAGGTCAAGGCCACAAACATCTCCTTGGAGAGGTCAGTAAGGGACCACCGCCAGCCAATCAGTCTGCCTCTGTAGGTGGGCTTCAGGTCAGGACATCCACTCCTGGCGGGGCCCCACCTTAGAAGCGGTTTTGAAGAAACAAAACCATTCAAGTGTCTCTATAAGTCTGTGGATGAGCAGATGGGCAGCACAATCACGGCCTCTGGTCTCTTTCTGACCTCCCTGTGAGGGTGCAGGCTCCCCCAGCCTGCCCATATCCTGAGCCTGACCACAGCCTTGCCTGTCTGTTCTTAGTCTGACCTTCCTATGGGGGTGCAGGCTCCCCCAGCCTGCCCTTTTCCTGAGCCTGACTGACCGCGGCCTTGCCTGTCTGCTCTCAGTCTGACCTCTCTGTGGAGGTATAGGCTCCCCCAGGCTGCCCTTATCCTGAGCCTGATCGCGGCCTTGCCTGTCTGCTCTCAGTCTGACCTCTCTGTGGAGGTATAGGCTCCCCCAGCCTGCCCTTATCCTGAGCCTGATCGCGGCCTTGCCTGTCTGCTCTCAGTCTGACCTCTCTGTGGAAGTATAGGCTCCCCCAGCCTGCCCTTATCCTGAGTCTGATCGCGGCCTTGCCTGTCTGCTCCTTTCCCCCAGCAAGCTGAAGGACTCAGAGACTAAGATCCGCGAGATGGCAGAGCAGCTGGAGGCTCTGAGGAAGGAGCTAGAGGAGAGCCGTTCCGGGGTGAGCCGAGGTAAGCTACTGCTGTCTGCGGCCACAGTGATGGCAGCTTATTCTGAGAAGCTCTCTGCAAAGAACTTTCATTTCAAATACTCATGTGATATCCCTACTATGTATGTATGGATGGATTGATGAGTGGATGTTCTTTGTTTTTCACTGAGAAAATAAGGCATCTGACTGCAGTATACATTTTTTCCATGTAGGATTAAAGCTTCACGAATTCCCGGGGTCCATATTTGAGTATTTCAATACTTCTCCAGTGACCAGCAGCCTGTCATTTAAGGTCAGGCCATCCCTGGAGCTTGGCATCTGTCTCTGTCTCTGTCTCTGTCTCTGTCTCTGTCTCTATCTCTGTCTGTCTGTCTGTCTGTCTGTCAGTCAGTCAGTCAGTCAGTCAGTCACTCACTCACTCACTCACTCACTCACTCACTGTCTGTCTGTCTGTCTGTCTGTCTGTCTGTGTCATGTCACCCAGGCCTGACATGTTGCCAGAACATACACTGCCTCACTTTCCAAATGGGACTTCAGGCTGTAGTACACACCACCTGCTGCTGGCTAGTCCCTGGATAGTGGTTTAGTTAAACCTGAACTCTGAGGCTGCGTCAGGTGTTCCTTGCTCTTTCTGCAGCAGGAATTGTCATGCTTGTTACTACTATTGTTTATAAAAACACTTTATATACATAGTTGATATTTAAGCTGTAATTCAGAGGAGACCATGATTATAAATCAGAATTAGAATCTGAATCAGCTTTAATTGGCCAACTATGTTTTTGCATATAAGTAATATGTCATTGCTCTTGGTGTACTTAAACATACAACAACAGAAAAAACAGGACATCAAAAAATTTTATACAGTATGTACATAAGAGACTTAAGCCAGAACGACATAGTGCAAAGGTGCATGGTGCAAGATGCTGGTTGCTATATATAACATAGCTGTTAAGTCTCCTGTTTTGGCCGGGAAACTACCATATTTTACCCCTCTTTCCCGCCGACCTCCCGTATTATAATATCATTTAAAAAAAATTCCTCTGCCTCTCCAAACTGAACTGTCAGTAGCCTCACGAGAACTGCCACCTGCAGTAGTCTGCAGGTCATTTACAACATTAACCAGGTCATAAATGCGGAGGTTAAAATGGCAATACTGTGTGCCAAAAACAACGTACGTTACTTTCATCTTCTGTGACGACTTCAACAAGGATAGAAACAAAATTAATGACTTAGAGGCTTTAATTTCTTCAGACAATTACGACATAACTGAAACATGGATGAGTGACAATGATGGTGATGAATATAATATGGATGGTTATACGTTGTTCCG